CATCCACAGAAGAATGCCAGGTAGAGCAGAGGCTCAGCACAAGGGAAACGTCAGACGTTTCAACAAGAAAACTCCAGATCTCTGTTTGCACAGCACTTGCTCCAAAGTACCTGCATTTAAAGATTTGAGCTGCAGGGCCTCTCTGCCAGATGTTTCTTTCAATACCAGAGATGGATGAGAGTGAACAGTGCACCCCCTGCAGAACCTGCCTGCCCTGGAGGCACCCGGAGCTCAGAGCCTGGCACAGGCACCTGGCAGCCAGGGATTGCTGCAGGTCTCCACCACGGTCACTGCTTCATCCACTCTGGGACTGACACAAGAACCAAACTGGAATAGAATCTTATTTTCAGTCATGCATCATGCCACCACAGGATCAGTGGTGCACAGAAGCTGCCAGTTTTGCCCAACACACAATTTTAATCTCATGACTATAACATCTTTTTGGTGAAGTCACTTTGGACCTCACATTGTCAGCAAAACCAGAACACAGCCAAAGGCTTTCTCTTACACACACAGGAGATAAAACAAACCAGGAGCCAAAAGCATGTGAATTTACAGCTAAGTACTCACAGACAGTGACTCTCTAATCTTGGCTAATGCTCAGCATCAGAAAATGTTTTTCCAGGAAGGACTCAGAATAACTGAGCCTTTTAAAAAAGGAAGGAAGCCAAGTTGTCCTTTTTCATTCTTCCCTTTCAGTGAAAAAGGAATTCTGAAGGTATTTTCAAGAAAAGGAAAGGTTACTTTAGTTCAAATGCTGGAAAACCAATCATTTTGCCCAGGTACAGCTTTGGGTTATTCATCTATAAACACTGACGAGGAAAATTCCCTTCCTTGGCTGCTCTGAAGGACACAGCCTCTCCTTGAAGGAGAAGAAAGGTCAGCATTGCTTTGAGGCTGCTACAAGGATACACCCCTGTGAACCAACCTGTGTGTAAGTGCACAGAGAAAAGAGGAGTGATAGGAAGCTGCTTTAAAACCACCCACTCCTTCCAATGGGTGACCAGTGCCTGATCCTCTGCTATGAAACTAAGGAAAAAATGTGCAAAGTGTTCACAAATTTGGATGAAAATCTTCTGTGACTAAGTACAACATTTACTGCAAATAAATCCAGTGTTTACAGAGTTATTTTTCCAAGTGCTTTGCACATAAACAAGGCTTTATTAATATGTTGGCAGAGGTTTAAAAACTATTTAATTTCACAAGTCCCCTCTGGCTCAGGGCTGCAGGGACAGCTCAGCAGGACAAACCAGCAGCTGGACTTTGATCAAGACCAGCTTTTGGCCCCAGGTTTCCAGCTCATAACTACAGCAAAAGCCAGGTTACAGTGTGTTACAGAGCTGAGCTTCCTCAGGAAATCATTTGTGCATGTATTTTAGACAAGTACCATCAGCCCTGAGACAGCGTTGAGAAAAGAGGCATTTTCTCTTTATCCCCAAAACTGCTGGAAAGCAGGAAAATAAGGCAAAGGTTGTTGCAGAAATAAGAACAATGTCACTGAGGTCTGCGAACAGAGCTGCTGAGTGTGCAGCTCAAAAGCTGCTGAAAGAATTAAGGACACATTCCTTTCAGCTTGATTCAACAAGTTTCTTCATATAAAAATTGCAACATTAAGCTAATTTTGTGGAAAGGGAATAGAATTAACAGCTTTTAGCAGAGACGTACCAGCTTTCAATAGAAAGCTCCCAGCCTGCATTTACAACCTGCTGTAGTTTTACCCAAGACCAGCATTAAATTCTTTATTGATCTGATTATTTGAAGTTACTTGTTTCAGCCATTCAAAATCAGAGCCATTGTCAATGTTCCAATCAAAGCAAAGGTTATTTGTACAGCAGCAATGTATTTACCTACAGCCTCTCTGAAGTCAGTGGCTTTTCCCAGTGCAACAGCAAAAGTCAGTCATGCTTTTGGGTTTGACCTGTATTCAATTAAGGACCCAGTAAGACAGTCAAAGTTTGAGATTCCTAACACAGCACATTTAATTTCCAGATGCAAGCCAAGGAATAAACAGAAAAGAACATTTATTTTAGTGGCTGTCGAGTTGCTTCCAAGTTCTCTCTCTGTCCCACATCCCTCACAGAAAACGAATAAATAAAACCAGATTATGCTGGGCTGAATGCAAGGAATCCCAAATCCCAGCGCCTGACTGCAAGCAGAGGATCCCTGCTTGCCCAGGTGTCCCAGGGGACCCTGCAGCACCTCCTGCCCCTGGAAATGCCAGGCAGGGGCTGCAGGTGAGCAGCACGGTGCTCCCCCAGCATGTCTCCAGGGTCTGTCCAGCACAGTGCCCCTCCCCTGGGCTCCCAAAAGGATGGAATTTGCATTAAGGGTTATGCCAATAGCAGCAGGGAGACAAGAAACTGGAGTAAGATGAGGAGAAAATAGAGGGAGGTTTATTGTATTTTGATCTGTATGAAAGCATCAGATTTCCTGACTTTCAGCACAGCAGTTGGATATTCTATAGGAGGTTTTATGGAGGAAAATGGTGTTTTGGAATAGTCTGCAGCATTCAGTAATGGAAAGGACATTCAAACCGACTGCTGGTTCCGACACAAACCAACACCCAGCACATTCCAAAGCAAACAGAACACGGGAGCAGCCCCTCAGGGAGCCAGCAAGGGAACGCTCTGCTCTCCGCCAGCCCCTCCTTGCTTGACATGTACCCCATGGAAGGGGGGAATCTTCTGTCACCCAGCACTGCTGAAGAGTTCCTGTTCTCATCCATCCAGCTCAGGATCAGCGGGTTATGCCAGAATAGCTGCTGTAGTGATGGCATTTCCTTCCCCTTCCCCTCATATCCCAGTAAAGCCCCACAGATGTGGGTGCCACCTCCCATAGCCACAGCAGGGTTAAAGCTGAACAACAACCACCAAAAGGCATTTCCAGGTAAATAATTGCTATTACAAACATAAGTCTATAAACTTGATTGGATGTGTAAGATTGGAGTTTGGATTCATGGAATTGGAGGGGAATTCACTTCACTGGTAAAAACAAGTTTGTAGGAGTTCTGGGCCAACAGAGCTGGATCTGTGCTGTTGCCCATACATTTATATCTCAGAGCTACCCCACCAAGATAAAGTTCAAAGTGTTCTAGAAATACTTATAGTCACATAATTAATTTAAAATTTCCCTTTTCCTTGTAATCAGAAGTCGATAGCACAGTCCAAGGAGCACAGGCCTTTACTCAGCACCTTTACTGAATTTACTGGGCATTCCAGAGATGGTCATTCCAGTTCAGTAGCAGATGCTCCTGTACATCCCCCTTCATGTGACCCAGGTCACTGCTCCTCAACACATGAGGTATTCAAATTGTGTCATAGTGTTACACTGAACTTCTTTATACACTTCATCAGACTTCAGACATTTTTACCACTACAGTTAAAACCAGAAACATCCCTTTTTTTAATCGCAGAGCCACACTGCTTTGTGTAACAGCTCAAATACTTCCCTGCACAAGTACGAGGTTAAACACAACCTGGACAACTTTGTAGGACACAGAGAAAGAAACTGCACATTATTAGTCAATGATGGAACATAATTAACCAACACAGACTTCAGAAACCTCATCTGGAGAAGTTTGGACGAGACCTTGATTTTCCCTGTGGTGATCCACTTCAACCCAGAACACAAAATAAACACGTTAAATCTAATAAATGACACCACAGTGTGTTTTAAATGTCAAACTACACCACATCCACATCAGACTCAAAGCAGGGCAGTCAGAGCTTTGGAAAGCCAGCAGCCACACAGCAGTCCCTGTGAACCATCCAAGGAGCCACAGGACTACATTATTAAGACAAAAGTAGCAGATGAGACACTGGGAGATCATTACCCAGCTATAACATAATGATCTTAAGTAGGAGAATTGGAATTTTTAAAAGTAGCTTTGATTAGGTATTTTACACTTGAAGGGGGTTCAGAATTACTCTGCTGAACATACAAATGATACAAATGGAGAAAAAGGTGAAAATTACAAGTTTAGGCTCTCAATTTTTCACTTTTTAATCTGTATCACACTTTCACATGCCTTCTCCTCCCAATCAACTCTTCACATGCTGTTTCAGAGGGAAATTATTCTGTCATTTAAAGCCAAAGGTTTTAAAAGGTCCCAGCAAGTGACCATCCCCTCTGCCTTCATCACCTTACTGATGCCAGTTCTCCACAAACCCAACATTTCTTCATTTCACACACATAGCCCCAGAATCCACGTTTTTACATGTTTTCTGGCACAGCTATAGCAGAAAAGCCTTCTAATGCAAGTTAAATTTATACAGGAAAGTGTAGCTCTGATTTTATGTGACCCACCTGGCAAGGTCAGCAAGTAAAATAAGGTGTAACAGCTAAAAAGGTTCTTACTCCCTCTGCTGTGAACAAGAACATCCCAGAGCAGCACTCAGGCTTCCTTACCTGCAGAACAGGCATCTTCACTTCCCTCCTCCTGACATTTCAACCCAGAAGACCTCTCATTTCTCAGTCTTCACCTTGACTTATAGGAATTCCTATACCTGGACTCGTACAGGAATTCCTGCCTTCATGAGGTTTCTCACAGCCTGCAACTGCCATTCTTCAATCAGGAGCCTCCAAACAGGGAATAGGACAGAACAGAGAACACCTGGCCTTGCCAAACAAGGCAATGCCCTCTCCCTCCCTTAAATAGTCCCTGGGGGTTGTGTTTCAACTACTTAAATGCTCAATTAAAGGCCAGATGCAGGGCCATCTTCAGGAAATGACAAATTCTTATTCCATCACAAACAGAAATTATCCAGAGCAAGGATCAAGTTTTGGTTTGTTTTCAGTTGGCTGGGAGCTGCAGAACATTTCCCTCCAACCACTGCACCAAACCTGTAGGTCCCAGGGGCAATAGGTTTGTACACTTGCTGCCTGTGTCCTGTGGATGTAAATCCATGAAGTACAGTGGCTGTCAAGAAACACAGATGTGCCCCATTTAGCATCCTCTCAATACATCTACAGAGAGCAAGACAAAGACTTACAAACTCTGGTTCGGTGCTGCTTTTGCAATTCAGACCATGGAAAAACACTCCAGCCGCTGTCTGAGATGAGCATTGAAGACATCCAGCCTGCACCTGCAGGAGTGCTTCAGCAGCAGCGCCTGTGTTTCGGGGCAGCTGCTGCGGGAGTGGATTTGCAGGTGGCTGTCTCTGCTGGGAGGTGGTCTGTCAGGAGAGCACAGATCTTCCTGAGAGCACAGGAACCACCCATGGCGATGGCACTGCAGATCAAACACAGAATGACTCTGGTTGAGGATCTGCTCCAGTAATGAGGAGAGCAGATCTTCCCAAGGCACACCGGGTGTTAAACAGGCTTGTCCTCTAAACTGGAGTGCCAGACAACCCCTCCCTTCATGTCCACCTCTAACAACTGCCCAGGTGAAAGAAAAATCAGCAGTATCACAGCTTTCCAAGCAAGAAAATACAGACCTTTATCAAATAAATAGTCTGTGGTCTGCATGGCTGTGTGAAATGCACCAAGCAGGAGCTCTTGCTGTGACTGCCCATACTGTGGATGATTTACAGTGTCCCAGGTCATCTGGGCTGGATGGAGTTCAAAAGCAGTGGCCAGTGGGGGTCCCTGGCCCTTCAAACCCAGGGTGGACATGAACAACAGCCCATCCCACCCAGGAAAGATGGATTGCCTCCAGCCCACCCAGCTGAGGTTCCCATCAGTCAGTGGGAGCCCAGGGAGGACAGAAGGAATCTGAAGCACAGAGCTCCATAGCCACAGGTACTGCTGGGGACAGGATGGCACAGGAAGGGACAGGAGCCATGGCCCAATCCTCTTCACATATATTCCTCTGAGGTACTGCTTGGTTTCCCAGAGTGTGGCATTCCCTGGGCTCTGCACACAGCAGGGATGACCGTCCCCAAATCAGTATTTGCACAAATCCGTCGGCAGCTCCAAACACTGACCACGATTCCAGGGTCGATCGCTGCTTTGCTGGGAGCTTGTCCAGCTCATTACAATGGAACTGAAGTGTCTGACTACAGCCTTGAGCCACAGGAGAGTTGTACCTAAGTGTGTTATTTTGAAAATTCCCAACAAGGCACTTCTGGAGGGTCATGTCGTCCTTTTCAAGGCATCCAGCAACCCACAGAGGCATTGAAAGAATTTGGCCAGCAAGAAGCTGTGAAGGAAAAGAAAAACAAGGAAACATTTTGCAAAGGGCCTTTAAGGAGAACTGGCACAACACAGAGAAGAGAGAGCATGAGGAGGGATAAACTGAGGCAGAGTGGGAATGCTGTGCGGCAGGAGCAGAGGTACCTGCAGTGCTGGTCTGGGAAAGAGCTGGAGCAGTCTGACAAGGGAACAGTGTGATGTGACAGGGAACAGGCAATGTCTGCAATGGAAGAACAAATTAAAAAGCAAAATTCATCCAACAAAACCCAGGTACATTATTCAGGTACCTAATTCAGATTAGCATTGTGTAAAAAACCCTTTTGCTGACACTGATGCATGAAACACATCAGGGTGGTGTTCTCCAAAGTTGTGTTCTGCTCCATTAATGACATTTCTATTGACTACTCTAAATAAAGGGATCATCCTCTATTTCCTTCAAGATTCCAGCTCTGTGGATCAGCCCCACCACAATTTGCTTGAAGGAAACTGGTAACACATCTGAATATCCAGAGCCTCCCACAACAGCCCCTGATGGGCACGAAACACATCCAGATCCCCTGTGCTGGGCTCTGCTGCTGCCCCAGGAGTACCAGCATCATTATTAATACCAGAATAATGATCAGGACTGCCCATTAGAGATGCAGAATCCATTCCCTCCTGGCTGGGACAAAACCAGGTTATAGCACAGGTTATACCACAGTTAGAAACTGATCTGCTGAAAAATGAACTGAAATTGTGTCCCAGTTTTGGTATGCACACTTTGCTGTGCAGATCCACTTCACAAGCACTTCCTTCACTCAGCTTTCCTCTTCACAGCACTTCTGAGCTCACACTCAGTCACACTTTCTTGCCAAAATATAGTTCCACTTAACAAAAAGCTCCCTTCATTCTCTGCACTTAAAACATTGGCAAGGTCCATTGTACATCTAAAATATTTTTTTTTTATTTTAATGCAGATTTTTGGGTATGTGTTTTCGTAAAACATTCTCAGAAGAAACTTGAGTCCCGTTTCTACCACAAATTCTGGAGACTGGTACAAATCATTAAAAAATGTCTTTTACCTCATGTTCACAGCCACAAAAGCACAGCATTAGAATGTGTGACTCCAGTAGCCTTTCCAATAGAAAAAAGCTTATGAAAGCACTTGATGCTTTGCCTTTCAGACTGTAATTAGGATGGAGAAAATGCTCCTAAGGATTGACCTGCTCACCCTCTCTATCACTCAGGGGAACAAAATTCAGAGTGAGCTCCCTGTTCTCAGGGTAGCACCTAAAAATGCCACCTTGGAATTTAGTGCAGGGCTCAGTTGAGGTGGTGGTGTTTTTCTGAGACCCACAGTGCCAGCTGCACAAGCAGGTCGGTGTTTCTTGGCACGAGCTCCCATGCTGGATCAAAGTGAGATGATCCATGTTTCCCAGAGACAACTCCTGAGATGATAACAAACATCAGCCAGCGAACACCACGAGTAAAGTTCTAGCTGGCTTACACAGAACATCCCATTCCTGCCAACTTCCTGAACTCCCACAGCTTGCCTTTTGTATCTGTCTGAAGAGTTTTAGAACCTTTATAAGATATATTTGAGGCTTTATCTTATCTTTGAAGTTTTATCTTACCATTACATCCCAAGTCGGACAGATTTGGTTTGCCCTACCATGACCCATGTCAGCAGAAGCATGCCGTCAGTCGAGGCTGTTACAGACACCGTTCAGCCGGACAGGAGCTGAGGTACTGACGGACTCGGTCTGCGAGGGGAGAGAAACTGTCCCTCCAAAAGCGAACTGAAGGTGTCGTCGGCCGCTTTTTGGAGGGGTCACGCACGAAGCTCCCCCGACGGCAAAGGCTCGTTGCCTGCGAGGGCTGGCGGGGCTGCGGGTCGTTCTCTCACCCGAGACCCCGGCGGAGCGGCCGTCCCGGTGCGGGGGGAGCGGGGCCGCAGATTCCCCGGGAGAGGCGGCGGGCGCTCCTTCCCTCCCCGCCTCGCCCCGAGCGGTGCCGGGAGGGCTGCGGGGGGCCCGGCAGAGCCCCCGGGAGGAGGAGGTGCTGGGGCTTTGTCCCTTGCCCGCAGGAGCCGCGCTCCCGGCCAGGTGCCGCCCGGCGCGGGGGGGACGGGAGCCCGCTCCTGGTCCCGGGGAAGCGCCGCGGGGTTGGGCGGGGGCTGCGAGGGGAGTTAATTGTGGTTGGAACAGTTCCTGGCAGGGAAGGAGCTGACGTGTGGAGACGCCTCCCGAGATGAGCCGCAGGAGGAGCGGGGAGCGCTCCGCACGGCCGGGACGGACGGGCCAGCGGCTGCAGCTCCTGCAAATCCCTGGGGAATTCCGGCTTTCCCTGTGAGCGGCAACTACCGGCACATCGCGCCGGACGGGGACACCGTGGGGCAGCTGTCAAATGACAACGCTTTGGGTCGTGACATCGCTGAGGAGAAATCCGAGAGCTTGGGGGCTGCTTCGTGGGTCGTTTTTTCTTTCGAGTTAAAAATTGCTCGTGTGCTGTCGCTATAAATGCCTGTGTGTTCTGTTCCCCCTGCAGGAACCGTGCGCCCGCCGCTGCTGTTGGGGATGACAGCGTAGGATCCCCGCAGGATGGAAGCCCCGCGCAGGGGACGGGCCCGCTGGCTGGGGACCCTCCTGGCCGCCTGCCTGGCCACCCTGCCGGTCATCACCGCCTGTCCCCGGCCCTGCGCCTGCCACGGCCCCGCCGAGCTCCACTGCACCTTCCGCTACTTCAGCACCGTCCCCCCGCGCATCCCCCCGGACGTGCAGCGCATCAATCTGGGGTACGTGGAACAGCGGGGCTCTTAACGTTCTGACCAGTCAGCTTTCAGCACTTTGCGGAGCAATAATTAAGAGTTTCCACATTTAGAGCTATAAATTACCAAAGCAATAAATAAGTCTGTAGAGCTTAATGTTCTGTCTGCGGCGCTCAGCAGCGGCTGCAGTCACAGCTAGCAAAGCCTGAGACCACCCACACTAAGTGGAAGCTTGGGGGATCTAGCACAGGGGAGGTGAGAACTTCAGAAAGTTTTCAACTTAAATGAATTCCTTTGTATTACCTGAAACAATTGCATCTGTAACGTGGAACTGAGGAGTCTGAAACAGCAGGAATTCGGTGAAAATGCACTAAAATCTTCAGAGACTTTGCTGTGAGTTGAGAACGCCCCACAACGTTAGTGTCCATGCTTTCATCTCCTGGGTTCATGGGAAGTCCCACCATGTCAGCCTCCACGGTGGTTCTGTTCCGTGCGTGGTTAAAGGAGCAGGGAGTGGAACGTGCCCAGGCTCATCTGACCCCTTCATGCAGTTTCCAGCAAGTGTCCTCTGTCATTAATCAAACAAGACCCATCGGCAATATTTGACTGGTCCGGGTACCCCTCTTAATACACATAACATTTAAATCATCCAGATGTGTCCGCAGAAAACATAAAAGCAATTTTTCCTGGAGGTAGGAGGGAAGCCAACACACTGTCAGACAAACAGATGTGTTTTGTGCTTGCCCTTACTCTCCCCTTCCATGGGAATTCGGGTGTCAGAACGCCACCCTTGTGCTAACATGACAGAATGACTTAGAATTTCACCTTGGCAAGCAGAAGTGCTGCCTACCTTTAGCCATTCCCAAAGAGTGGTTCTTTTCTTTTGGGTTGGTTGCTTTTAAAAGGTGTGAAGTGTGGCTGACTAAACCCATCTGTTACAGCTACAACAGCCTGAGAAAACTGAGCCCCACAGACTTTGCTGGCCTGGAGAAACTGGAGTTACTGATGCTGCACAGCAATGAGATCAGTGTGATCCCTGAGAGGGTGTTCAGTGATTTACGTTCACTACAGGTGAGAACTAAATGAGCCAATGTTCAATTTTGTTACGACTTAACCTTCAGACATAGAGGTAAACATCCCCTCAGCAGCCAGATGCAGCATTTCCTTTTTTAGTTTCTTATCTGTCCATATGAAAGTTGAGGGCCTTCAAGATCCAGTATCCTAATAAGAAAGGTCTTTCCTACCCAGGTGGACACTCAGGTACACTGTAAAGATCAGTAGCATTTGTTAGAGTTCTTATAATTACAACATGGTTGAGTATTATGCATTTTTTACTTTTTCATCAACAGGTCTTAAAAATGAGTTACAACAAGGTCAGGGTGCTTCAGCAGGGTGTGTTTTATGGCCTGAAGAGCTTGGTACGGCTGCATATGGACCACAATCAAATTGAATTTGTAAATCCCAATGTTTTCTATGGACTCACTTCCCTGAGATTGGTCCACCTGGATGGAAATTTACTTCAGCAGTTGCATCCAGACACTTTTGTCACCTTCCACTATAGCCAAATATTCAAAATATCCTTCCTGAAGCACATCTCTTTGTCTGACAATATGCTGACTTCACTTCCACAAGAAATGTTTTCCTACATGTCCGAGCTTGAGAGCATTTACCTGCATGGAAACCCCTGGTCCTGTGATTGCAGCCTGCAGAGGTTCACAGAGTGGGCACAGGAGAGACCAGGTGAGCTCAAGGCCTTGTTCATGCTCCTTAATCCTGTTGTAGTCTCTTTTTCTTTCTGATACAAGTAATTGTCTTTTATTAATTTATTTATGCTACCAGAAAAGACTTTAAGACAGTATTTTAGTAGGTGTTTGTAATTAGGATAAAGAGATAAATATCACTCAGCTTTCCAGATTAAATGTATCTAGTGGCCTTAACAGATTCCCAAGTGCAGCTTTCCTTAATGGAATGGTTTCCTTGGACAGTCCAAAGACTCTGTGCACCAGGAGAATCCACAGGGAATAATCAAGCTAACTTCTATGGAACTGGCAAGAGTAAGGGCCACTTTGCTCTTAATTCTTCAAAAAGGAGATAAGGGACTCAAGGGACTCAAAGACTTTCTCTGCTGCTGTCGTTCATATGTTACTTTAAGATTTGATTTTATTTTGTTCAAAAGAACACTTGTTAGTACCTATATGTAATTTTTAATACTAAAACTTGTAGCACAGAAACTGACTCCAGTTTTCTTCTCTTCAGATGTTATAAAGTGTAGAAAAGACAGAAGTTCTGGTGCCCAGCAATGCCCAGTCTGTGCTAGTCCCAGAAATCATAATGGGAAAAGCTTAATGGATCTTCCTTCTGCATCTGTCACCTGCAATAAGCCAGTCATACACGACTCCCTGAAATCCAGAAACCTCACAGTGCCAGACGATGGGGATTTCAGTTCCGTGTCTCCCAAGGACTTCATAGCTCCAATAGGATCCATGGTTTTGAACATATCTGACCAAGCAGGAAATCGAGGCAACATGGTTTGCAACGTCCAAAAACCTACAGAAATGTCTCCCATCTCATTGGCCCAAGATGGCAGCAGCACAGTGCTCCAAACCTCCTTCTCGGCTCTCCTGGTGTGTGGCATCGGTCATGGGCACATCCAGCAGCTGTGGAGCATCCTGGCACTGTACAGCAATTCTCCCTTGAAACTGGAGCGGACTGTCCGGGCAGCTGATGTGCCTTTTGTTAGTTACAAATACAAACAGATCTACACTGAAAAAGATGAACTTTTCACCAATATTGAGGCTGACCTGAGAGCTGACCCAGCCTGGCTGATGCAGAGCACAGTGGCACTGCAGCTGGACAGGACAGCGACCACGCTCAGCACACTGCACATCCACTACTTCACCCGTGCCCAGGTCAGTGTGCCCAGTGCTGACAGCAACCAGGGCAGCAATAACTGGGCCATTATCCACAGGGACAACAGCACCCAAAGGGAGCACGCTGTGCTAGTCGGGGGCACTGTGGAACTGGGCTGCCAGGCAGCTGGGGAGCCAGCTCCTGCTGTGGAGTGGATATTGGCCGATGGGAGCAAAGTGCGAGCTCCTCACATCAGCGAGGACGGGAGAATCATCGTCCTCAGAGCTGGAACACTGACCTTGCGGGCGGCTGACGTGTTTGACACGGGGCTCTACCACTGCATCGGCTCCAACAGCAACGATGCCGACGCTCTGACCTTCAGAATCACAGTGGTGGATCCTCACGTGGAACACAACAGTGTAAATGGAGCCCAGCTGTTGGCAGCTGCTGGCAGCACACTCCACCTGCCCTGCACAGCCACGGCTGCTCCGGACGCTGCCATCACCTGGGTGCTGCCTGAGCTCACAATCCTTCGTCAGTCTGTAGGAAACAAACATGTCTTTGGCAATGGCACCTTGAGACTACAAGGGGTGACAGAGCGAGACGGAGGGTACTTCCGATGCATTGCAGCCAACCAGTACGGTGTTGACCTTTTGGTTTTCCAAGTGCTAGTGAAACAGGATGAGACCGCTCCAAAGAAAAGGCTCGGAGCTGTGGGAGAGTGGGAAGAGGGTGACGGCTCTGGCAATGCGCTGCTGGGCTCTGCTGCAGCACAGGCACATCCCTCAGCCACTCCAGCCACCCCCACAGCTCATCTGAGATCTGCTGCATCAGCAGCCAGCAGCCCAGGGCACGCAGAGCGCACGTCAAAGGAACAGCCACGGGAAAATGCCTCGCAGGCCCTCCAGGGACAGAACAGGCAGGCTCAGGCGGCTCAGGGGGCACAGGAGACAGTTTATTTCCTCAGGCAGGAGAGTCGATCCACAGCGCTGGGCAGCCTTGTTGGAGAAAACGAAGAGAAACTCAACACTGACAGACAAACGAGGAGAAGTTGCAACGGAACCACCCACTCAAGTCCGAAAGTTCTCAGAGGTACCTGAGGATGAGGAGACATCTGGTGATCTGAGGTCTCCAGAAGAAGAATTCATGATGCCAGTAACAGAGAGAGCCCCAGTACCTGCTCTGGGGAGACCAATGGAACGTGTGATTGCTGCAGGGCCCGAGGGCACCGTGAGCCACACTCCTGCCAGGAAAACCCCCCTCCCGGTCACAGAGGCAGGAACTCCTCTGCCCTCTCCTCTTCCACAGTCTGTGTCACCTGGCAGCAGAAGGCCACAAACATATCCAAAACCTACAGACTCATGGGAAAGATCTGACTTGAGTCAAATATCAGCAAATGGTGTGAAACAATCAACTGTATCAAGTGGAGCAAGTGGAACATCCACACTCTTCCCTGCTGGGCAAAGGCTGGTGTATTCTGGGCAAAGTAATGAACAGCACCTAAAATCTGCATCCACGACACCCACGACAGAAGCTACAGACACCAGTAAGGCTGTAGCTCCCCAAAACACAACTGACAAGATACATGTTTTTACTGAGTCCATTGATAAAGTTTCCACCAAAACAGATCACCAGGTCCCTGTGATGACAGTCAGTGCAGCAAGCCCTGAGTTTGGTCCTGTTTATTCTCATAGTGCTCAGAAAGGAGGAACCTCTAAACCACCATTGACCTCAACTATGACTACTCATCAGCAAATTCGGGTTATCCAGGACATTCCAACTCACACACCCCCGCTCCAGCAGCAGTACGGAAGACGAAGGAAAATTTCTGGTCGGAGACGAATTGTGAGGCCAGGACATATCCCAGGTATGAAAGAGCACCGATACAATTTTGGGAGGGCAGGGTCTGCCAGAGGAAGTACAGCTGTGGCTGCAGGTGTTCAACTGAATATGAAATATGTATCAAATGTACCAACTTTAAATAATTTAAGCAGCTCCATCAATTCATTTAGCCCAGAAGCCCCCCTGTCCTCCCCCTCCACCATGAATTTGCCATTGGAGCAAGTGGTTACCCATCAAAACACATTGTTCCTCAAGGAAGAGGAGAATGAACACGGTGCAAAGAAAAAAGCTGCTACCACAGTCATGTCTATCACTACAAAGGGCACTGCTACTACTTGCAACCCTACCAGACTGTTGGGTTTGAAGCCAACAGTCACATCTGTTATTACTCCTCAATCTGACACCAGAATCACCAAAAGTAAAACATTCAGAGTGGGAGGAAGGAGAGGTCAGAGGAGGAAGAAGCCTCCTAAAGTATCTGCCCCACAGCGTGTGGCTGCAGCCCACAGCACTGCAGCCACCTCCTCCGTGAGCACAGCCACCCCCGTGGTGACACAAGGTACATCACCAGCTGTGCCTCCAAGTCTTACACCTGCAAAACCTCTCCCTGGGAGCGTCAGCCCAATCTCTGTGACCAAAACACCAGCACTGTGGAGCTCTGACACCCCAGAGCCACCTCAGCATGTGCCCACGGCAGCCACACAGACATTGGTGACCCTGGTCACACAGAGGAATGCCCAGCTGGCCACGTCACTGCCCACTAGTCTGACTGCTCACAGCCCCACCATGGCACTCCAAACCACACCAGTCACAACAAGGAACACCCAGCTGACCACAGCACAACCTGTCAGTCCTGCCCAGACCTCCACCATAGCTCTCCAAATCCCACTGTGGCTGGGTGAGCCTCCCGATGCTGCACGTGCCCAACCTGCTGCAGTCAATGCCACAGCAGAGTCAGCACCTGCTCAGCACATCAGAGCCACTGCCACGGCAGGACGAGAATTCTACCTGAAAATGGGGGAGACAGTTATCCAGGAAAACCAGGCAGCACAGCCCACATTCCCAGCAAGAACTGTGTCAAGGGCTCCTGCTGCACTCACAGACATCATCATTCCCAGCACTCAGCATCCCACCCCTCAGCCAGCCCCAATGGCAGCTGTGCCACTTGCACCTACTGTGAGAGCCCCCCTGCCTCCATGGGAGGATGTCCAGTTGTGGCCCAAGCCACCTACCAAAGGCACGGAGAGGGGCAACACACTGACTGTCAGGACACCGACCACTCCAAAGTCATCACAGATTGCAGATCCCCGGGGAAGGGACAAGGACAGCTCTGGCAGAGGCTGGTCTGAATGGAGACAAGATCAAGAAACCACCACCACCCCCAGTCCCTTTGCCTTGGGCTCTGCAAGCAAAAACCATTTTGCAAAGCCCAGAATAGTTGGAGGGAAATTGGCTGCTTTCACTGTGCTGGCAAATTCTGACGCTTTTATTCCTTGTGAAGCTACTGGGAACCCCCGTCCAACAATACAGTGGACCAAGATACCATCAGGTAAGCTTGATAAACCTCTCTAGAATTTACATTCTGTTAGAGTCCTGTAATTTGACAGCTGTTCTGAATGCCAAACTCAAACATTGCTTCATTTTAAAGCACTATAAAATACCAGTGAACGGTGAACTTGGAAACAGTGACAGAGATCCAACACTTGCTGGAGTGTCCAAGTGCTGACTCTGGAATAGCTCTCTAGGGAAAGCATAAAAAAATAACCTATATTTAACTAGAATTCTGTGCTTATTGTGATAAGATCTCAATATTTGTTTTGTGTTACTTGCTATTTCAGAACAGTGAGACAAGTGAAAAGAAAAATCTGTGGTAGCAAACCCTCAAATCCAGTTACAGCTGTGCCGGGTTTGGATTGCAAAGGCCCGTCTGCTTTATCCAAACTTTGTCTCTACTGGGGACTCAGCTTTGTCCCTCTTTGTGTAAAATACTCTGATTTTCTCTCTGTCTCATCACTATCGCCTTGGTTCTTTGGGCGATGCACAGCACGGCAGGGAACAGGTATTCAGGGACTGAATTAAACTAGGAAATTAAAGCAGAGGAAGGTTCTGACGTGTTGTCCCCTTGTTCCGCAGGGGCCGAGGCTCCGGGGCGCGGCGGTGCCGGCAGGTGGGTGGTGTTTGCCAACGGGACGCTGTCCATCCCGCAGGTGGGCCTGGGGGACGGCGGGCAGTACCTGTGCACCGCGGCCAACGCGCTGGGCACGGCGCGGCTCCTGCTCACCCTGTCGGTGCTGGCCTACCCGCCCCGCATCGCCGGCAGCCGCCACCGGCTCCTCACCGCGCACTCCGGCAACACCGTGGCGGTGGCGTGCAAGGCCGAGGGCAGGCCCCCTCCCACCATCTCCTGGGTTCTGGCAAATAAAACCCACCTCTCCGGCTCCTCCGCGGGAAACGACAGAGCTGGCGTGGAAGCAGATGGCACTTTAGTTATCCGGGAGGTCACTGTGTACGACAGGGGCCTCTACACCTGCCTGGCCAAAAACCCTGCGGGCACCGACACGCTGGCTCTGAAGCTGCAGGTTGTTGTGGCCCCTCCCACCATTCTGGAGGAGAAGAGACAAAGCATGGAAGGAAAGATGGGGGAAAGCCTGGAATTCCCTTGCACAGTGCAAGGGAAGCCTCAGCCCACCGTCCACTGGGTCCTCCCCGATGGCACGGCAGTGAAGCCTCTGCAGTTGGTACACACGAGGCTGTTCCTGTTCTCCAATGGCACCCTCCACCTGGGCAGCATCGGCCCTTCCGACAGCGGGAACTACGAGTGCATAGCCACGAGCTCCAGCGGCTCGGACAGGAGGGTGGTCAGCCTCGTGGTGGAGCACAGGGACACGCTTCCAAAAATAGCCATCGCCTCTAAAGAACTGACTCACCTGAATTACGGAGATAAGCTGCTTCTGAACTGCACAGCAACGGGGGAGCCCAAGCCCAGGATCATGTGGAGGTTGCCTTCCAAGGCTGTTGTGGACCAGTGGCACAGGTATGAGCCTTTTCTTTTTCCCACCTCTTTGTAATTTCAAATACTGTCTCCCCTGGTGGTCATGTAAGACTGTATTACAGCACTAAAGCACTGTGAACCAAATTCATTTTTAAACATTTAACAGTGGTGAAAATATCTGTGCTAATGGTTTGTTGTTATATGTCTAATAACATCATATCAATTACCATAAGTGGGTGAGGTCTCCCCAAAACAAATACAAGTCATATTTGAATTAAGGGAACTGCTGTTACCCTGCACTGGCTGGTTGGGGCCAGTTTGGAGGAGAAGTTATACGTACCAGATTTGCGAAGCAGGGCTCAGTCTACCTTTGGGGGTCTCCCCCCACCCCCTCCCACAGTAGTACTTCACCTTTGCTTTGGGAGACAGTCCCAGCTCAGGGTGTTCCCAGCAGAGTTAACGTGCACACATCCATGCAACACCAGAAGTGACAATGACACCGGGTTAGGACCCAGTGGGTGGGCAGGTGGTGTGGGCACAGTGCCTTCGGAGAGAATCTGTGTGTCATATCATGCTGTTGACACCTTCAGTCCCTTCCAGTGCTCAGTATTCACCCCCAGCACTTGGTTCCATAATTCTTCTCCTCTCTCTCCTCCCACAACAGAATGGGAAGTCGGATCCATGTCTACCCCAACGGATCCCTGACTGTTGAGGCAGTTACTGAAAAGGACGCAGGTGATTATCTGTGTGTCGCAAGAAACAGAATTGGGGATGATCTGATACTGATGAAAGTCAGCATCACAATGAAACCAGCCAAGATTGACCACAAGCAGCACTTCAAGAAACTGGTGCCATACGGCAAGGATTTCAGAGTGGACTGCAAGGCCTCAGGGTCGCCCACACCAGAAATATCTTGGGGTCTGCCAGATGGAACGTTGGTCAACAACGCGATGCTGGCGGATGACAGCGGGCACAGGTCCCGCAGGTACGTCCTCTTTGACAACGGGACTCTGTACCTCAACAAAGCTGGAGTGGCAGAAGGAGGAGATTACACCTGCTATGCCCAAAACACTCTGGGGAGGGATGAGATGAAGATCCGTGTCATGGTCATCGTGGCAGCCCCTCGGATAAAGCACAATCACAAGACGTATGTTACAGTGTCAGCTGGGCACACGGCACTGCTGGACTGCGAGGCTGCTGGAGATCCCAGGCCACAGATATTCTGGTTGCTGCCTTCCACTGAGATGATCTCCTTGTCCACAGACAGACACTCCCTGCACACCAACGGCTCTCTCTCCATCAGCCACACCAAACTGCTGGATGCTGGGGAGTACATGTGTGTGGCTCGGAACCCTGGTGGGGATGACACCAAACTGTATAAGCTGGATGTGGCTGGTAAACCCCCCATCATAAACGGTTTATACAGGAACAAAACAATCATGAAGGTGACGGCAGTGAGACACTCAAAGAAACACATTGACTGCCGGGCAGAGGGGACACCTCCCCCTCAGATTATGTGGATCATGCCTGATAACATTTTCCTAACAGCCCCATATTATGGGAGCAGGATTTCAGTGCACAAAAACGGGACACTCGAGATTCGGAATATCAGGCCTTCGGACACGGCAGATTTTATCTGTGTGGCACGTAACGATGCGGGAGAGAGCGTGCTGGTGGTGCAGCTGGAGGTCACAGAAATGCTACGGCGACCAATGTTCAAAAACCCATTCAACGAAAAAATAATAGCAAAACCTGGGAAAACTACCACACTGAACTGCTCTGTGGATGGAAACCCTCCCCCAGACATAAGCTGGATGCTGCCCAATGGCACGTGGTTTTCCAGCAGCATCAGCACGTCCCAGTTTCTCACGGGAAGCAACGGGACCCTGACCATCTATAATCCCGGGAGAGACCAAGCCGGGCGGTACCGCTGCGCTGCCCGGAACAAGGTTGGCTATATCGAAAAGCTGATCATCCTGGAGGTTGCCCAGAAGCCCAACATCCTCGCCCACCCTGTGGGGCTGGTGAAGGGTGTCAGCGGGGAGCCGCTGTCACTTCACTGCCTGGCCGAGGGGAGCCCCAAGCCCAGCACGGCGTGGACACTGCCGGGGGGCCGCGTGCTGGACCGGCCGCAGGTCAGCGGGAGGTTCCTGCTGCTGGAGAACGGCACCCTGCTCATCCGGGAGGCCACCGCCCACGACGGGGGCAATTACGTGTGCAGGGCCCGCAATGCCGCCGGAGACTCCTCCGTGACCGTGCCCGTCACCGTCGCGGCCTACGCCCCGCGGATCACGGGCAGGCCCCCGCCCGCCCTGCACACGGTGCCGGGGGCCGCGGTCCAGCTGCACTGCGCAGCGCTGGGGATACCCAAACCACACATTACCTGGGAGTTACCTGACCGCTCCATCCTCTCCACAGCCCACCAGGGCCGAGGGTCTGGGGGCGAGCTGCTTCACCCCACGGGCACTTTGTTCCTCCAGAATCCCCAGCCCTCCAATTCCGGCCCGTACAAGTGCACGGCGAGGAACCCCCTTGGCAGCGACTTCGCAGTAACATATGTCCACGTCATCTAAGTCAGAAATGCAGCAGGAATGATGGTGAACACAGGCTGCAGCTGGACTGAGGTCATCCTTGGAATGAGTTTAAGCAAAGGCAGCCAAAGGCATGTGAGTGCCTGAAAACACTTACAGTGTTCAGTCTGCAATGACTGGACAAAAGGAGAGAGGAAGGGAAAATTAGCTCTAGCGTTATTAGCTAGCATTGGTTCTCTCCACGTTCAAGGGATTTAAATTAAAGTAAACTCTGCCAGCAAACATAGACTATCAAACACAATTTACTTTCTGGAAATGTACACAGAGAGCTCCTGTATGGACAGAATTTTTCATATCAGTTCAATTACTGCCCACCTGGTATGACTCTCATAAGCACAGATCACAGAGGGCACGAACATCTGGGAACTGAAGAGCAGGTTTATTGGGATGCAGATTACTTTGTTAATGTGTTTTAATATTTAGTATATTTTTTAAATAAATATTTCATGGTGAAACAAGTAGTGAAGTATTTTTAATAGGACAGCTCTACTAGCCAGTCTTTTCTGCAGAGCTGTGGGATGACACAGACCAGCTTTGGACTCAGTTTGGAACAAGAGAGGGAGCTCTGCTCAGCACTGTTAAGCCAATGCACACAGACTGGGTGTAGAACCACTCCAGCTTGGCATCATTTTCTTATTGCCACAAAAGCATTTTTTTAAAAGTTTCTCATTAGAAAACAATTACTTGAATTTATGACTCAATTTAGAATTGTGATTCCTCAGTTCAGCAGCCACATAGGCCTTGAAAAGGAACTTCTGTACTTGATGGGAAAATACCTTTGTGACGGTAGGAAATGGTTACCTGCCCATTTCACACTGACCAATCACAGAGCGGACTGCTCAAATCAATTTTTAAAATATTTAAGCCTGTAGCTAAGGTTCAGAGTTTCTTATTTTCTTCCTAAGAAATACATTAATGCAGGACAGAGGGCTCAAAATACACACACAGATTCCCCTCTTGAATAATAATGATTTGTTTGTGGTGATTTTGGTTGATAATTTGCCTGTGGATTTGTACTCAGTGATGATGCAGTGCCAGCCATCGATTCCCCCCTGGGCTGGGAATACCTGCCATGCCCCACTGGTACCTGACACAGGGACAGAATAACTCCTCCAGGGAAGGTTGTCCAAAGGCTGTCAGCTCCAGGGCAGCCGAAACCGCGGGAAGGGCTCCGGGGCTGTTCCGCACTCACGCTGGGAGGGCTGGGATGGGACCGGTCAGTGCTGGCAGCGGGGCAGACACGGGAGTTCATCTCCTGCCAGGCTTCCCCAGGACTCAGAGACTCCCTACGTGAGTGGAGCGAAGCCCCCCTGGAGCACCCAGTCACCCTCGGGACCATCCCCTGAGAGCTTCAGTTAAAGACACCAGATGGGAGCACTGCTACTTCCAGTAGGTTTATTAATGTTGCATTGTGGGTTTTAATATAAACTTTAAGAAGTTTTAATACAAGCAATAAACCCATTTCAGCACCTTCTTACCACAATAAGAGCAAGAGGAATTAGTACTTTAAACAAAGAACTTTATAAAGTGCATGTGAAAATCACAGACAAATAAACATGATATGAATTGATGTTTGTTCTACCAACAAAGAGGTGAAGTGCCTTTCAATTCAGTAATTTGGTCCACTGCAGTACTTTTTTTTTAATTAAAAAAAAAAAGGTTTTCCCATAAATAAATAAATAAACCCAGCATTGTTTGCCCTCTTTAAAAGTAACAGGATCTAAAAAGCACCAAATTCATAAAATCTGCAATAACATTCTTCAAATAGGCCCACAAGTCCATACATTGAAATCCAGTTAAATAACCCCAAACCCACCTTGTTACATATTCACATCAACTGCATCACAAAAAATAATGATGGAAATAAGAGAACTCAAGCCTGCTGTCCAGCCATGACTAGTGCATTGAATTTCCAGTGTCCTGTTCCTCAGTGCAAAGGTCCCCTGGGTCCCCCCAGCCACAGTCAGAAGTGGGGGTACTGGCTCCCCCCGTGCTGTGGCTGGTTACCTGGTGGAGGAAGCAAAGGGGGTGACTGTACAAAAATACAGAAAAATACCTGGGTGGCAGAGGACAGGCTGCACATCCCCCCTCCTTCTGAAGCCAGAGGCAGTCACTTCCCTGGGCACTTTTCCTGCAGAGGGCTGCGGAAGGTGAGGGGGCCCCAGCCACAGTCCTGTCCTGTGGGTGACAGGACCAGCAGGGCCCCGTGGGGTGCCCCAAAACCAGGGCTTTGGTGTCACATCAGGACTGGGACGGGTGCCCACTGTCAGCAGGTGAATGACCTCCATGTACACCTGGCAGCAGGTAAATAGGCAGAAGGTCTCCAGAAAGATAATTCCATGTTCAAACACACATTTGCGTATGTCTGTGCACACACTTACTGGAGAGCTGCTTCTGGAGCTGCCGCACCAGCGCCGCCGTCTGCTGCTGCTGCGGGGTCTGCTGCAAGCCTGGCCTCGGGAACTGCAACGGGAATGGGAAAGGGAAAGGAACCACATGGTGCCTGTGCCACAGCAGGGAACCACAGCGTGCTCGGCTGGTGCCACCCCAGCCCAGGGGCCAGTGGGTGGGGAGGGCAGCGAGGGCAGGTGGGTGTCCTGACTGGGGTGTCACAGCAAGGACACAGGGAGCACCCTCAGAACTCACAGAACATCTGTTCTCTTCCTTCCCTGAAATCTCACACTGTTCAGCCTGGAGAAGAGAAGGCTCTGGGGAGCCCTCACTGGCCATGGCCATGGCATTAGGCACAATGTGATTAGCACCCCAAACCCAGCCTCTACCACCCATCTCTGACTCACCCTCAGGTCTCTCAGCTCGACAGGTCTGCCTCCTAAATACCAATTTTTTTTTCTCATTAGGCCTAGTGCAAATGCACATGCTTCTGATTTTAATTAAGTGATTCTTCTGCACAGGGATACCTGATGCAGTTTGGAAACCTGAGGTGCTGAATAAAACTTGAGTAATCCCATACCTTAATAACTCTGTGGGCGCTGCAGAAACCGCCCGAGCTTTGCTCAGCAAAACCTTGTGCTTACTGAAGGCAGTTTCAGCATTTTACAAGACTTCAGCATCTTTTCCCTTTCTGAAACCAAATCCTTCACTTAAAATATGTTGTGTAATCTCCTGGCTACCAGGCCATAGTAACTGCTAGGTTAGTCAAAGGTATTAGCGACCACACCAGGGTTTTTGGGAACACAAACCCAACCCACAGCACCTCCTGCTGTGGAGGAGACTGTGCTGGGCAGGTGCCCATTGCTGTGATACTCTCCCAGCAGTTCGTTCAAGATATAAAACTCATTAAGAAAAACTCAAAAATGGATGAAAATTATCTAAGGTTAACGCTTTTAAACTTGGGGGCTGCAATTTCAGCATTACTGTACTCTGGTTTATGACTAACAATATAACTTAAAAGTATATTCAAAAAACAAACCCCATTTTCCCCCTAGCCTGTTAGCAGTACATCCTAAAAATCCAAGGTGAGAACAGACCCCTGTGATGGAACGTGGCAGGGGCTGGAGTTCAGCTGTGGTGGATGGAGCTGCCAGGGCACAGAGGTGCTCCACAAACACAGCACAAGCACGAGGGGCAATGTCAACCATCAGCACCTCACGTGGCCAAGGGCGCGCTTCCTTGTGCACAGGTGACAAAGCCCACGCTGTCCCTCCCCTCACACCTCCCCAAAACACCCAAAACACTCTGCTCACCAGCGGCTGCTGCGGCTGCACAGGCTGCAGTCCAAGCGCCGGCTGCTGCCCCAGCTGCTGCTGCTGCACCTGAGAGAAGGTGGGCACTGAACAACAGGACACAGCCCATGCTGCCTCGGGGACTCACCTCCAAATTAAAAATATCACCCAACCAGAACAGAGGAAAAGGGCCAGACGGGCAAGAGCCCCTTTGGTTTAATGCCAGGAACATTGTAAGGCCAGACAGGGAGCACATAACCAGCACCTCTGCTCAGTACATCCAGCCAGGTCATTCTCAAATCTACCTTCTCCAGAGGTATTCCATAATCAGAAAATCCAAGTACTGAGTTTTGCACGGATGTCCAGAGCTCCCTTCTGGAAGTCCCAGAAGTAAACACTGAACGACTGCACTGAGGGAAAGGCAGGTGGGGTTTGTAGCACCAGGCTCTGGAGTTTTAGACTCGAAGACCTGTGCGAGCGAGTGTGTAACACTCTCACTGACGCAGTGATGCTCACACCCCTGCTCTGTCACATCCCCAGCCTCAGCACGGCCGAGCCCTCACCTGGAAGAGCCACTGGTGCTGCACCTGCTGCTGCCTCTGCGTGCCCGGCTCCGGTGCCAGCTGCCCCGTGCCCAGTGCCGGCTGGGGGCCCACGGCGTCCAGTCCCCCTCCAACCAGGGAACCGGGCTGCAAAGGCTGATGGCTCAGTCTGGGGGGGAAAAAAATGACAGATTAAACTTTAGTTACAGACAGAGCACAATAGTCTGGGAGGACTCAACTATAGCTGCAACATCAGACTTCCACAGATTTAAAAGATGTTACATTATACACTGCACAATAAAGCCATGCCACACTACTGCCCAGTCACTGATCTAGGCTGTGACACCTTCCCCTCAACAGGTACAGACTCAAGCATTCAGCCCTTGCTTGTCTAGGAATAGCAATGAGTTTCTACACCTCAAGGCATATTTATTGCTAATTAGATGTGGTGTTAACCCCATTTTGGTTAATCAGCAACCTGAGCAACCTGGTCTAGTGGAAGGCATCCCTGCCACTGCAGGGATCGGAACTGGATGGTCTTTAAGGTCCCTTCCAACCCAAACCATTGTATGATTCCATTATAACCAGACTTTATTTTAAAGCAGGCTCTCCCCACCCTGTTCCCAGGGTTCCCGCTCACCGTGGGGCGCCGGCAGGAGCGGGGCCGTAGGCGGGCGGCTGCTGCTGGAGGTACCCGGGGTGCTGGCCCTGCCGCAGCCGCTCCATCAGCGGGGCACAGCTGGGGGACAGCCCCACGCCGGCTGCTGCTGCTGCTGCTGCACCGGCACCGCGCTGCCGTACAGGGCGTATCCGTGGGGCAGGCTCTGCGGGAGAACGACACGAGTGACTGCACCGGCCCAGCTGCAGCACAGAGGTGGCCTCGCCAAGGAGCTGCAGCCCAGAGATCTCACATGTGCCCCACGCTTGTGGGACCCCCTCTGTCTGCAGGTTCATTCAGACAGCTGACATGAGGCCACATGTGGTCACTCACTGTCACACGTGGCCACGTGGTAACACGCTGTCACACACAGCCACATGGAATGAACCTGCACTGTGCTGCCTTCTCAAGAGGCGCTGAGCAGGAGCGGGGCTCTGCTACAAAACACCACCTCTGTTTTCCTCACACCCCCCAAAATCCCAAGTACCAGAATGACCATGACATAATAGAGTAACTGCTATCATTGTCTCACCAGAAACTGGCCAGATTTCCAGCTTAACACT